GTGAGGCTACTGACGTAAATATCGAGGCAGGCTATTTTTACTCGCCACCACCCTCCCTCGTGACTTGAGGAGCCTCACCCCATGACCAACGCCAGCGACACACCCCCTGTTGAAGACCGCCCCCTTGAACAGCTATCGTAGAACTATCGCTTACAAACCACACACAACCTTCTCTGGCATTGTGGTGCTCCTCCTGCCGGGTGGGGCAATATTGCTCTCGAGGCTCCTCTAGGGGCGGGCGCCATTGGAGGTTGCAAACCGGTGGTTGCTGCTTCGGCGTGCCTCCTGGCGAGCGAGCGTTTTTGCTTATTGCTCGCTTTACAAACCATACCTCTTTGCCAAAGTGCCTTAACCAGCACAGCACCGGGCCCAACGGTTACACCGGGATGGTTATGGTTACGCCTAAAAGACGACACGGTGGCTCCGGAACCGATGTCGCTAAGAACTTAATTTTTTGGGTATAGTTGAAATGGTCGTCGGGTAGCTTTTTAGAATTAAGGTGGGAGTTTCACACGTGACCTGAAAACGACGGGCAAGGTACGCCTGAAAGTGGCTGGCACTGGGCTTGTGTGTGTGTTTTTTTTTCTTGTTTGTTGTGTAAACTTGCGGATGGTAGCGCTGCGTTGATTGCCACGACGGTAGCGCCGCAATTTGCCATTAGTAACCCATTAGCCGCGATTGGGGTCGACTCACCGGGAATTTCCAGTACGGATTCGAATAAATCGGTAGGCGCACGCAGCCGAGCTCGGTCTCCGGAAGCTGGCTCCAATCACCGCGCGGCAAATGTTGCTGACACCTGGTGACCTTCGGTTGTATGCACTCCGCACATCAACCCACTCACGCCTAACCACTCATTTAACCAACACTTTTTTCTCACTAATCAACAACCAAAAGTTTAATCAACATCCAAAAGATCACCATGTTCGGTTTGATAACAAGAAGATACCTTTCGCAAGAGAGCGGCAAGCGGTTGATGCAGACGATCCCCATGGCGGCAAACCTGCCGGTGGCCGGGTGGGCGAAACACGGGTTGGCCATGCCGCGCAAAGCCCGGACGCTGAGATTCAAAAAGGACATCGAGATCCCCGCTCCTAAGCCCGAGTTCATCAAGAAACAGCCCACTTTTAACCCGGAGCCGAAAGTGGTCCAGGAAGAGCAGATCATGTCGAAAAAGCCGCGGCGGCAATTGAAGCCTCGCAAGGCCCTCATCACCCTTTCCCCTAATGCCGTGGCTCATTTACAGGCACTTTTAAACCAGCCGGTGCCGCAAATGATCCGTATCGGGGTCAGAAACCGCGGGTGTCTGGGTTTAACTTACCACTTGGACTACGTCGAAAAACCCGGTAAATTCGACGAAGTGGTGGAACAAGACGGCGTCAAAGTGATTATTGATCTGAAGGCGCTTTTCCTGATTGTCGGCTCGGAAATGGACTGGCTCGACGATAAGTTGTCGCTGAGATTCATCTTCCGCAACCCTAACCTGAAGGGCACCTGTGGCTGCGGCGAGTCGTTCATGGTTTAGACGAAAACCATGGCACCAACAAAAACAACCATACCACATTTTGCATTGTTACGAGTTATGATTTTATAGACACATTACACATTTTATTATCAGACGATTTCATTAATTTATGGTTCTTCGATTTATCATAGATCTACGGCTATACGAGTCTCATTGGTTTATGGCTGTACGATTCGCATTGATCATGGCTATTTCAATTATCATCAATTCGGTAGTTATTCGATGTATTTCTTGATTTATGGATCTTCAATTTATCGTTAATTCAAATATTATATACAGGGATCACTTGATGTAGCGGCACTCGAAGTGGGTCGCCTTAACGTCGTGGGGCAACAGACAGTAGTAGTTCATCAGCTGCATCGCTTTGAACAACGTGACAAAGTCCGTAGGCACTCGTTGAGTGACGCCGCCGCCGATAATCACCGAGTCCGTCTGGCCCTTTTTGCCATCGATAATGTACACTTCCGCCGGCTGCGCCCGCACGAAGCGCGCAATCACGCTCTTGACGTCGTCCTCTTGGCTCAACGGGACATCACCTGATCCATTGGCCACCGTCGAGTGCTGGTGGCGCTGGGTAACCTGCTGGGGGGTGGGCGAACCGGAAAAGAGACCCATAGCAAAGTAAGCCAAAAATGTAAGCGCAACTGGAGTTTTTGGTGAGACCAGTGCCTGTGTAGTTTCGCACCAGAAAAAAACTAAAAAAGTTCAAAAAACCTGGGGTCCCGCGCCCTGTGTGTGTAATGTACCGGTTAGACCACAGGTTCGAGAAAAATCGACAAATTAGCCAGCCCGGCCCTCGAAGGGGGTGGGTGCACAAGCGACGGTTAGTGGCGACGGTTAGTGGCACCCGCAGCGTTCGAAGCTGCAGGGCATTTGGTTTGTTGGGGGTAGGCACTGGTTTGTAGGGGGTTTGCAGAACGCTAACCCTATTCGGAGGGCACCTCATGTGATTATCTGCTTTTTGAACGGCTCTGGGCTCGCATCGTCGAAAGCCGACCACTCACTAGCCGACTAAGCACCCTAACCACTGCGGAAAGCCCGAGACCTGGTTTGCGGATCCGTGGCTGCCGAAAGGAGAGCGACGTCCCTCGGGGTCGCTTGACCCATCTTTGCTGTCAAAAAGCCTCTCGGCGCAAGGGGCGTATTTTTTATGGTCTCGAGGACACACACCGTTTAGGTAAACGTTTCTCGAGGGTGACGGCGGGGCACTCGACCCCCACCTCCAGCCACCCCCTCCGCTTAGCTAAGTAGTCGAGTAAGTGTCCCCGACCTATGGTAATCCGTTAATTTTCCTATATCCCAATATGCTACTCGTAGATTATATCATCGTCGACCTTGGTCAACTCGTCGAAAAACGGCAACCGCTTCAACTCCTTGGCTGTGGCCCGCTTCGCCGGGTCCATGTGGAAACAGTGGCCCAACAACTGGAGCAAGTGCTTGTGGTCCTCGTAGTTGTCGGCGTCGGCGTCGTCGGCCGGCCGCACAAGCTTGTCGCCCCGCTCGTTGAAGAGGCGGAGGGTATCGTAGACAACACTATCGGCCGGGAAGCACCCTTCGTCGACCTCGTGCTGCAAAAAATCATGCAAAATATTCGGTAGGTTGCCCGCCAGGGCGTTGGTTTTCGCCAATGACATCTGGAAGCCGCACCCGTGGAGCTCGGCTCCGCGCTGGAGCCGGTCGGTGCCAAAGATCAACGCCATCTCGACGAGGGCGTCGGTGTCGTCGGGCGAATTAAATAAGGGGAACTTGCGGGCGAGCAACAGCATGCCAATGATCCCCGCCAGCCAGATGTCGATCTTTGTCGTCTGGTTCAGACACTTAAACAACACCTCCGGGGCGCGGAACCCCCGAGTACCCGCTCGGTTGGCCCGTCTTGGCGGCCGTTGGTCCTGTTTAGGGTACGCCGCCTTCACCTGTTTGTGGCGGCGGGCCAACAGCGCCCCTGTCCCCGTGCCCTGGGCACACACACACAGCAGCTTCACCGCCACGTACTTCTCGGCGAGGCCAAAGTCAACAAGCACCCCACGCCCTTTAAACGGGTCGTACAAGAAGTTGGTCGGCTTCAAGTCGCGGTGGATGACGTTCTTCAGATGGACAAACTCAAGCGCCGAAAACATCTCCCAAAGATACTTTTTGATGCCCTTAATGGGCAAATCACGATAAAAGTCACGGAAGTCGGCGTGAGCGTAGTACGGTAAGATCACCACCACTTGGTCCTGGTGGCGTAAAATGTCAAGCAACGGTGCCACGTGCTTGTTCCCCAGGAGAATGTAGAGTAAGTTGAGCTCATTATGGATCCGCACCGGCGACAGCGTCACGTAGATCTGTTTAAGGGCGACAATGGGGTTTTTGCGGGTGTTGCGTCCCGGCACGAGCCGGTGGCGGCCCACGGGCGTCTTCCACACGTCGTTACCCCACCCATAACTGGCGCCAATCGCTTCGGCTTTGTATACGGTGGAGAATGTCCCCTCGCCGATTTTGTCAAGCAACCGGTACGATGTCGAGAGTACGGGGAACGTTTCCTCAAGCCGCAGCATATCTTCAAGCACTTCCAATGGGATCAGCTCGTAGTCGTCGTCGTCCACTTCTCGTCGCGTCAACGCCACCCGTTTGGTGACGGTGGTATGCGACGGTTCAGGCTGAGGCAGCTTCAGTTTCAGCTCCAGAGGGGCTACACCCGATGCCATTTGCGGTACGCTCAGGGGCCCCGGGTCAGCTTTAGATTCAGGCACCATCACCACTGATTCGGTAGCGGCGGGAAGCGTGCGGAAGGTAGCGGTAGCGGTGACGCTGACGCTATGCGTAGTTGCCACTGGCGGCAACGGTGTCGGCGCCGTGAGCTTGGGCACGTCGACCGCCATCGCGTGTTTATCGTCGGGGCCTTCGCGCTCCGAGGTGGGGGAGGTGATCTGGGGGTTTATAACTTCTGGTTCCGGCAGTTCCTGGGGCAGGGGGGCCAGCATAGGCGCCGTAATGCTTCGGAGGGCCACTTTTTGCGGTAAACTGGCGGCCAACGGACGCGTGTGGCTGCTGAGTTTTGGTACCGCGCTGAGCCCCGAGAGACGCGTAGGCTTCGTCTGGCGGACGGCGGCGGTGGCGGCGTCGTCACACGTCATCGTCTTATTGGCTTCGCTCGACGTTTGAGTGTCGTCGGCGTCCGTGCGCCATGGCCTCGACACCCGGGCCAAGTTGCGCAGATGGATGAAATCGGTGGTGATCCGCTTCAGGGAGTCGTGGAAGGGGTCGGTGTCGCTCAGGGCTTTCCGCTTGTACCTCGGCGGCATCAACAGCGGATACGCCAGACCCCGCAAGTCCTTGGTCGGCAGGTCCAGCTTCATGGCACTCGTCTCGGGCATGACGCGACTGGGCGATGGTGAATCAAAACATTCGCGCCTCACTCTGAGGTAAAACGAGTGGAGCATCGCCACGAGAAACATCGGCTAAGGGGGTAGAATAATTGGGTAAGTGGTTATTGGATTGTGGTACAAGGGGCAGTGGGCCATGTGGTGAAAGGGGGTGGAGAGTATAGAGTTTGTAATCGACTATGTAGTGACGGTTAAATGTCACTATCACTCGCCAGGGGCACTTAGGGTGCGCCTCCTAGAATTACCCTACAACGGCCGTCAGGGTTTGGCGAATGTCACTTTGACAGGATGAATAGAAATGACCATAATCAGCACGAGTTTTATTTCTCAAAGTGGTGACCCATGTGGTGACCCAATTTTTTTTTGGACTAGTTTCAAGTCGCATGTTCCAATGGCATATATACTTCTTGGAGCTACATTTGAGGTTGCATTGTACAATTGAGTAAAATTGTGGCTTTTGGCAGGTTCAGACATTATCTGTGAGTCATTGATCTGAAGGGACTTCGGCTAAGGTACCACCTGGCGATGTTACAATAGGTGTGTGGCAGCCGAGTACAAGGACTTTGAGGCTTTGTGTATGCGTGTATGAATAGAGAGAGGGGTCTCCGTGGTACAACGGCTACTTCAGCATACTCAATTCACTAGCTTGATTGCTATAATTGGTTTGCCAATGGTCGTACTGTAACGTCCTGGTTACCAGATTGAATTGACGGGGCTATGTCAGACACTACAAAAGTAATTCCATCTATATTTAGGAGTTTTATACTTGAACTAAACTTGGCACACCAGAATTGATTTTGTGGTCACCCTGAAATAGATGGCCACGTTTCAGGGAGAGGGGGTCACTGGTCCTCGTGTTGGTGCATTCCTTTTGGTACTCCAGGGCTCACAGACTTCCAGGGATCAGGGATCGCAAGGCTGAACCGATCACTCAAAAATACCCCACTCGTGACACAAAGAAGCCAGTCACCATTTCTGAAAATAGCGGCTTTAGGGGCTTAGAAAATGCCCAGGAATTACAGCGATGAAATTACCCAGCTTTGATGGCCATGACGCGGCTGAACATCTTCATTCACCAAACAAGTTTCATCTACTATGGGTAACTGTTGATAACAACTTCTTCCATCTATGCCACTATAGCTTCACCTACCCGATACGAGACACCACAACCTGACTCACCCGATTCGAAATTGGAATTGAGGGATGTTCCACTTCAAGATACCCACGGCACTGATCAGGTTAATGGCTTTCCCTTTCAGGCGTCGTTAGGCGAAACGTTATGCAATTGAGTCAATCACCAAGAAACGGTTCGATAAAATAGCCGACTGGCTCCGTAAGTGGCTGGTTAGCAGTGCTCGGATGCTGAGCTGTGTACTGGTGGCGCCTGAATTTCAAGTTTTTGTTATCAGACCAATTGATATTATCGAATAAGGTCAAACTGACAGTCTTACTACGACAAAGAGTCTGACAGAGTCATTTGCAAAGAAAAAGCTTTTATCATTACAAAAATGTTTGTCAAAAATATTGGGGAATACGGTGATGTCTCTAGCCACGATGAGCGTTGGATCGATCAGAGATCTCGTATGATGTCATCGGATGGCCCGATGCGGTAGGTACCGACAAGTTTGGGTGAGCTTCCGGAAACTTACTCAATCGGGAAAAGAGTTCGCAAATGGGGTGCCTCTAGCATACCGAGCGGGTGCTTCGGATGCTAGCGATGTCGTTGTATCCAAAGACAGCACGGCTGCAGCGGCAGTGCCATGTTCATGCGCCACCGTCGCTTCCCAGCTCACAACCAAGCTTCAAGCTCACAACCGCCTCCGACGTCGTAATTCTCGCTTGCGACAGCTCTCGGCATCAGCGTCAGGGCCCACGAGGGTTTCCGGTGACTGCCGAAGCTCTAGCCTCGACCCTGGTGGTAGCACTGGTCCTTGGATGCCCAACCCTACTTCTGCTCTCGTCTCATTTCATGTGTCATGACAATTATATGCTGTCGATCTGCAAACCCCGACCTATGCGCCACGTATCGAACCAGAAACAACAAATTTGACCGTGACACCGAGACTGG